ACCACCAAATTAAGGAAACTCAAGAGCCAAGTCTCTTGATTTAGAGCCTATATTAAACTTCTTGTGATTTCAAATGTTAATTGACAGGATGTTTTTAATTTATGCGATAAACCACACCTCAATGCAAGTTCTGTTGATGCTGCATCAAATAATTCCATTGAAGAAAGTGAACACAGGAGAGAAAACACTTCCAATAACCCTAATGTAAGATTACTGTTGAGACAACGGTTCTAAAGCACCATATCATAATTTTAAAATAGTGTCAGACTATAAAGTGAAACTAAACAATGCACAGTATCTCAACAAAAAACAAACTAGACATTGAAATAAGTTTATGCACGTTTATCCACTACACTGAATAAAAGTATGTTCAAGAATTCTTCACAAAAGAATCCTCTAAACCATTCATTTGTAGACCAACTTACCTAGACAATGAATATGATCATGTACTGTACAAGTGGCGTTATATCGTTGTCTCGGACAAGAGACTGTCATGCAACTTGTAGAATTGGTACATACATAATCAGCAGGTTCAAGCTGCCAGCAAAACTGGCAAGTCATGTTGATTGTAAAATTCTCCACTTCATTGTTTCTCTGATCCTATAAAGGACAGTATTATCAATGTAAATAATCTTAAACAGTATATCAAGAATGTTTCACAGGATATAAAAAAATACTTTGCACAGCAGTGAAATCTGTGAGAAGACAGAACAAGATGGACAAGCTGTTTTATTTGCTACCTATATATTATATTCAGCACTTCAATAGTTGGGTACTGGATACTAGAAAACTGTTAAAGAAATAATTATACTTGCTAGGTAAGTATTTATGCCTAGAAATTTGTTTTGTAACATCTTTATAAGTTTTAGGACATAATTTACACTACACAGTACCTTTAACAAGTGACAAATTCCATATACAAAGAAATTGGTTAATTACTTACAACACAATGAATTTGTGGCTTAATCTTGCAATCAAAAGTGGCTGGCTTCCCATATACACAGGAGAAGTTCGTTTTACAAGTCATGCAGTCTGGAGGCAATTTGCTGCACAGCCCATTGCTGGGACACTTACTCACATAAGATGGAATCTCTGTAGTCTCTGAAGGGTGAAAGGATTTGTTAAGAATAAGAGGTTTAGCATTACCTACACTACCGTATAGGCACACACTTTTACTGTATGTTACTTTAAATAAATTCATAATAAAGTATAGTAACTCATTTAACGTTGTAGTTATGTTCCTGAAAAATGCGACTTTAAGCGAAACGATGTTAAACGAATCCAATTTCCCCATAAGAATTAATGTAAATAGGTGGGGTTAGGTTCCTGGGGAAAAAAATTTTGCCAGACAAAAGGCATTATATACATTTTAAATAAGGAATTTAATACAGGTATTAAACAGGCTGGCAGCCCCCCCATCAGCTCCCTTATACCCCCTTCGCCCCCAGCCTGCAGGCAGACCCTGTGGATCAGCGCCTTCCCCCTGCTCCCCCGCTTCCTGCCCGTGGCAATCAGCTGTCTTGCGGCATTCAGAAGGCTTGGGAGAGGAGCGACAATGCGGCACACAGCCTCCCTCCTGAATGCCACAAACCAGTTAATTGCCACGGGCAGGAGACGGGGAGGGAGGGGGAAGGCTGCGCACTGCATCCTCACTCCTCCCCTGAATGCTGCAAGACAGTTGATTGCCGCAGGCAGGAAGAGCAGGAGGAAGGCGCTGATCCGCGGGGTCCGCCAGCGGGTGGGAGTGGTGTAGGGAAGTTGATGGAGGCCTGCCAGCCATGGACAAAGTAGGCAGACAAACGACGTTATAGCAGAGCATTGCACAACATTAAATGAGCATGTTCTGAAATGGAGCAGGGACGCAACATCAAAACAACATTAAGCGAGAGGACATTAAGTGGGGAGTTACTGTACTCTCCACTTACAGCTAACATAAACCAGTAGCTCATGTATTAAGGCATCCCACCTCTAACGGCAACCAGTATCAGCTGCTTCAAAAGGAAGAACCCTACAGCAGAGCTCAGCAGCAGCCAGCATTGGCCATACACCATATATCAGCATTTGTGAGTCCATTACTACCTTGTCCCACCATGCCATCGATCAGCCACTACTCCCTCCTGAAAGCACAGGGCTGGAGCACACAAACACAGATTGGAGAGCAACAGCTCCTGTGACCTCCTGCAGGGAGTGAAGATCCCTCCCCCTCATGTTTGTCACCTCCAAACCTGGGAAATGGATCAAGATTCTGATGCCGGTCTTTCCCCTCCCATGGTCTGCATCAGTTGTGTGTGAAGTATGAGTATGAGAATCTAAATCAAGTGGGGGAAGGGCAGAATGAAGTGGTCAGTTTTGTGGGGAGCACCATAATTAATTGATGGGTGTTTTCAGCATTGGGCAAAGCACTGATACATCCTAACACTCTACTTCCCCATACCTCCCAGCTCACACCACAGAGCCAAATCTAACCCCTGCCCTCCAGTAAAAAATATGGGATAATCTGTCCCAGGGAAAATTTCTTCCTATCAAAGATACTAAGATCAAAGGTCAGTTTATAACCTGAAGCTTGAAGGTTTATATTCTTTCCAAAGCCATTTAAATATTTTACAGTTCTAACTTTGGATGCTTGTTATCCATATAAACATGGAATCCTTTACTTTCTTTTTTTTAAATCAGGCTATGCTTTAAACCTCGGTAATATCTTGTACAATAAAATCCCGTCTAATTATGCACTACATTAAAATATTCCACTTTCTGTAACTTATGAATTTGCCACCATTCAATTTAATTGAATGTCCTTTTGTTTTAGATGAATAGTGTCTAAGACCAGAAGGGATCACTGTGATCCTCTAGTCCAGAGATGGGCAAACTACAGCCCATGGGACCGTCCTGCCCAGCCCTTGAGCTCCCAGTCAGGGAGGCTAGCCCCCCCGGCCCCTCCCATGCTGTCCCTCCGCCCCCTCAGCCTCAGCTCGCCATGCCCCCAGTGCTCAGGGCGGCTGGCTCTGGCCAGACAGCACAGCTGTTAGTCCTGGTGCTCTGAGTGGCATGGTAAGGGGGCAGAGAGATTTGATAAGGGGCAGGAGGTCCCAGGGGGCAGTCAGGGGACACAGAGCAGGGGGTGGTTGGACAGGCATGGGAGTCCGGGGGGCCTGTCAGCGGGTGGGGGCGGGTTGGATGGGTCAGGGATTCTGAGGGGGGCAGTCAGTGGGCAGGAAGTGTGATGGGGCGGGGGCCAGGCTATTTGGGGAGGCACAGCCTTCCCTACCCAGCCCTCCACACAGTTTTGGAATCCTGATGTGGCCCTCAGGCCAAAAAGTTTGCCTACCCCTGCTCTAGTCTGACATCTTGCATAACATAGCCTATAGAACGTTCTTGAATTAATTCCTGTTTCAACTACAGCATCTCTCTTAGAAAAACATGCAATCTTGATTTAAAAATTGCCAGTGACAGAGACGCCACCACAACCCTTGGTAAGTTGTTTCAATGATTAATTGCCCTCATTGTTAAAAAATATACACCTTATTTAAAGTCTGAATGTCTAGTTTCAACTTCTAGCCATTAGATCTTGTTATACCTTTGCCTGCTAGACTGAAGAGCCCATTAGCAAATATTTGTCCCCCACATAAGTACTTACAGACTGTAATCAAGTCACCCCTTAACCTTCTTTGTTAAGCTAAATAGATTGAACTCTTTGAGCTGTAAGGCATGTTTTCCACTTTTTTAATCATTCTCGTGGCTCTTCTCTGAATTCTCTCCAATTTATCAACAACCTTCTTGAATTGTGGACACAAGAACAGGACACGCTCTCCCAGTAGCAGTCATATTAATCTCAATACAGAGATAGCAATAACCCTACTCCTACTTGAGATTCCTGTTTATGCATCCAAAAATCATAAAAACAATTTTGGCCACAGCATTGGCCTGGGAGCTTATGCTCAGGTGATTATCCACCAGGACCCCAAAGTCCTTTTCAGAGTCACGGCTTCCCAGGATAAAGTCCTCCATCACAGAAGTATGGCCTACATTCTTGGTTCCTAGATGAACAATTTTACATTTGACCATATTAAAACATGTATTGTTTGCTTGCGCCCAGCTTACCAAGTGATCCAGATTGTTCTATATCAGTGACCTGTCCTCTTCATTATTTACCACTTACCCAATCTGTGTCATTTGAAAACTTTATCAGTAGTGATTTTATGTTTTATTTCACATTAATAAAAATATTAAATAGCAAAGGGCTTATATCATGAGAAATACAAAATACATGTCCCTGTAGTTTTTACTTATCCTTTTTGAGATGGGGTGACCAGAACAGAATACAGTATTACAGGTTACGTTACTGATTTATATAATGGGATAGTATTTTCCATATTACCACCCATCCTGCTCCTTAGGCATTCTAACACTGTTTGCTTTTATGACTGCTGATGAGCAGTGAGCTGTCCAAAAATGACATCCCCATCTCCAGTTGACAGAGTTAATTTAGAACGAGTAACTAGAAGGCGTCTGAGCAGTTTAAAATTTTTCCTCCAGTGTTCACAAAACAATTTTATCATCCAATGTGTTCTTCATTCACTTAGCTTCATTTAACATTCTTCATGGTCTTCTCTGATCTTGACTAACCTAAATAATTTTGTGCTGTCTGTAAAGTTCTGACATCTCTGCCCTTTTGAGATTAATACATTAACAACCACTAGCCTTAGTGGAGTGACACAAGGTTCTGTACTGTTACCTTAACTTTTTGCCATGATGAAAATCATAAACCAATATATCTAACCAAAGACCTCAAAGTGTTTAAACATTAATAAGATCTCAAACATATTTACAGAGTTCTATTAGCCAATATCATATTTTCAGAACACTTTATAGTCATGCTAAGTTGTATAATTATAAAATGTACTCTCAGAATGCTTTGTATTGATAATAAATTTCTTGTGGAAATGTACTTGGCCTTAAACTGCTGTAACCTCTCTTTCCTTTGCATGTGTATCATCTGTCAGAATAAGATGGATATTCTGTTGAGTCTCACCAAATATGAACAGTCTGCTAGGTATGGTTGGTAAGTGGTCTTTGTCCTCTGTAAAATATATATACAGTACTAAATAGAGGAAGGGTGTACGGTCTTTGGTAATACACTAGAATTTGTGGAATCTTCGATCTGTTGTAAACAGGAGGAATATAAACAGAAGCAGAATTGACCTAATATTCTGGAACAGACTAAAGATGTAAACACCAAGACTGTTCCCAATATTGGTAGTGTATTAAACTTTCTGTATTGTGCTTATCTAACTTTGATTAATAAACTAATTAAGCCTGGTTATCTGACATCATGGGAACTGAACTCTGAATAACTGTTTTTATTACTGTTAAATTACTAGTCAGATTGGACACTTTTACTCTCTTCCATAAACACTCAAGCTACAAGTGTCACAATGAAATCACTTCTTAGCACAACTTCTGCTTCTTATACTAGTCTCACAAATGCCAGTTATTAACAGTAGCACATTTTACACTTAATTTATAGTTCACCGGCTGAGACCTGCCACTATGCTCTCCCCTCCACCAAATTTATTCTTCATCCAAGCCTCCGCAAGGGCACTACCTATGCAACCCCATAAAAGGAGAAAAATCATCCGTTAGAGACCTTGGTTCTATACCTGGCTCTGTTACGGACCTGCTGTGTGACCCTGGCCAAGTCACTCTAACCATGTCTGCATGTGTCTTGTCTCCCATCCTTTATCTGTTCTTGTCCCACCCTTTATCTTGTTCTTGTAAGCCTTCTGAGGCAGAACTCTCTTACTAAGTTTGTGCAATGGGGCTGATTTCATTTGGGGTCTTTAGCTGCTAACAAAAGTTATTTGTGTTAAGGGGATCTTAAGAATGTGTAAATATAAGAATGGCCATCCTGAGTCAGACCAATGGTCTATCTAACCCAGTTTCCTGTCTTCCAACAGCAGCCAGCGCCAAATGCTTCAGAGGGAATGAACAGAACAGGGCAATTATCCAATGATCCATCCTGTCATCCAGGGCCAGGTTCTGGCAGTCAGAGGTTTAGATAAACAGAGCATGGGAAACAGCCATTCATGGACCTATCCTCCATGAACTTATCTAATTGTTTTTTGAATCCAGCTATACTTTTGGCCTCCACAACATCCCATGGCAATGAATGCCACAGGTTGACTGGACACTGTGTGAAATACTTTCTTATATTTGTTTTAAACATGCTGCCTATTAATTTTATTGGGCGATCCCTGGTTCTTGTGTTATTTCCCTATTCACTTTTTCCACACCATTTGTGATTTTATAGACCTTTGTCATCTCCCACTCAGTCATCTCTTTGTTCAGCTCAGAAGTCACAGTCTTTTAAAATCTTTTCTTATACGGAAGCTGTTCCATACCCTTAATCATTTTTGTTGCCCTTCTCTGCACCTCTTCCAATTGTAAAATACCTTTTTTGAGATGGGGCAACCAGAACTGTATGTAGCATTCAAGGAGTGATGTATCTTTTATTTATTTATTTCACAAATGCCAAAATCCACACATCACATTAGCCACTCACTGACCTATTCCGCCCATCCCCAAGGAACCCATTTCCAACTCACATCCAGAAAACTTAACTCTAACCTCATACTTTCGCCACAAAACACCTAAGTTATCACACACTTACCCAGTGCACATTTGCGAACAGTAAGTATGTAAATACTGTGGAGACTGGAGTTGAAGTTTTGCATAACAATGAATTACCTATATTTGAATAGGGTGTGAGGTGGAAGCAGATTCTTATGGAAGCACAGTGTAGCAATTAAAATACCTGATTTTAATCAAGATTTAAATCAATGTTAATCTTGTTTTGCATGTGTCCTTTAACTGTTTTCCTAAATGAAGGTTGATTCTCATTGGTAGGTAATCATTAAAACATGTTGATTTGCATCTTAATATAGCCTTTACGCTATATTTCAAACTTCTCTTTGCTAACCAGGGGGATACACTACGTCAATACACATTTAAGAAATTATATAGCTTAATGTTTTCAGATTTATTTAATTTACTTTTTTACTTGTAAACATTATGAATGACATCTTTTATTTACTAGATTAATTTTTACTCATGCCTTGTGTCAATCTGCATTTGGATAGAAATTGGAATTAAATTAAAAATGCACAAAAAGCATTATTTTAAAATTGTTTTCTATTAAATAAGACTACTTTTAATTTGCTGTATATATAAGAAAAAACTTATCAAAAATATTTTGCATTTAAAGCTGGTTTATTACACGAAGGAAGTATTATCTGTAAATAGTGAATTGTACTGATTGTCCTTAGTCACCATTTCCATCAATATTTTAGAACTAGTAGAGCTCATCCTCTAACACCTTGCTTTTATTCCTAGTTTCTAAGGAAAACAAGATTTCCTGCTTTTTCATTTCCCAATCAGTTTCTCAACTTTGAATAAGCAAGTCATTGAACTGAACTAGTTGTATGAACTCAAATGAAGAAAATATTCTCTGTGCCTGCACAAGAGGCTACTGCTGTCAAATCTGGCTTAGCACTTCAAAAGTGACTTCCACCAGACCAGTGGACTTTACAACTTTTCTTTAGAACTTAAGCAGCAAACATGTTCTTCTTGAATCTTTCAGTTAATTAAACTAGTTAATAGATTACAGTAGATTGACAATTTGAAATGTAATTTTAAATAGGTTTACTTTTAAAAAAGAAAAAAATGTAAACAAAAACTCAGAGTCAAATAAAAATGCAACATTTTAGGTTTTTGGTTTAAAAAAAAAAAAAATCATTGTTTTATACCCAACCTGTGTGGAAGCATGGAGTGTCACTGAATGGTTTATCACGGGGTGGCTAATCTGTGGCTCCGGAGCCATGTGCAGCTCTTCAGAAGTTAATATACAGCTCCTTGTATAGGCACCGGCTCCAGGGTTGGAGCTACAGGTGCCAACTTTCCAGTGTGCCCCCGGGGGGGGGGGGGGAAAGAAGAGCGCTGCTCACCCCTTAGCTCTGCTACAGACCCTGCCCCCACTCCACCCCTTCCCACCCCCTCCCCTGAGCCTGCTGTGCCCTGGTTCCTCCCCTCCCACCTCTTGCATGCCAAGAAACAGCTGATCAGGAGGTGTGGGGAGGGAGGGAGAGGCGCTGATCAGTGGGGCTGTCGGTGGGCGGGTGGTGCTGGGAGCGGATGGGGAGCTTCTGACATATTACTGTGGCTCTTTGGCAACGTACATTGGTAAATTCTGGCTCAGATTGGCCACCCCTGGGCTAATGTGACATGCAGGTGTCAAGTCTGTGAATGTAGGTCCCCTTAAATGATCATGTGGGGTTTGCATGGATGGGTTCTTTATTTACACAACCCTAACTAGTAGTTATGGTCTTTTGGAAAATAATTCATGGTGCCTCAGGGTATGTCTACACTGCAATTAAAAACCCAGGGCTGGCCTGTGCTGCCTGACTCAGGCTCGGGGGGGGGGGGGGGGGGGCTCAGGCTAAGGGGCTGTTTAACTATGATGTAGACACGGGGCTCAGGGTTCTAGGACCCCATGAGGTGGAGGGTCCCAGAGTCTGGGCTGGACCCTGAGCCCCAGCTTCTACACCACAATTAAACAGCCCCTTAACCCGAGCCACGCAAGCCCAAGTCAGCTGGTGCTGGCCAGCTGTGGATATCTAACTGTACAGAGTGTTTCATCATTAAGAGGTACACTGCACCCTGTGGGTATGTCTACATTGCAGTTAGTTTTCTAATACCTCATTCAACGATTTTACTCTTAAACTCAGGACTATTACGAAAAAAGCTTATAAGGATATCATTGGAACAGTTTACCAAGGGTTGTGGTGGATTCTCTAACACTAACAATTTTGAATCAAAATTCAAGACTATGTTTTTCTAAAAGATGTGCAGCATACATTATTTTGGGAAATTCTATGGTCTGTGTGATACAGGAGGTCAGACTATATTATCACAAGGGTCCCTTCGGGCCTTGGAATCTATAAATCTATTGTTTTCTTAGGAGCTATAATAGAAGAACAAACTTTTGTACCTGTTGCTCTAGTATATAGAGTACTTGTACTTGGAGATGTTACACCTTTTGTAGACACAAACTGTTGTTTTGAGTGCTCTGTTGTCATCAAGGATCCTGCTATAAGAAAAATTAACAGATTCAATGCATTTCAGTTACTGTTAAGAGGATATAATAATCCTAGAATGTAACTGGTCTTCAAACACTGTTTAATCCTAGCACTCTAACATAAAACATCAAGCTGCCTTCTTGACATTAAGAAGGGTCATCTTTGGGATAAAATTAATATTTAAAAAGCTCCACAGATTCCCCTACTTTGTTCATTAGGGTTTTGCATTTTACTCCACGTAAGACAATAAAAATTAATTTTAATTTGTTTCTCATCAGTTTCACTCTTAAGTTTTTGTGACCTAGTAGGAAGCTACACTGTTTGGAATGCAAATGTTACAGTATACTGTCTATTACAGAACAAAAATAATTAAACATCAAGTAACTCACTGGCCATTTTAGTAAGAAAACTGCACCACAGAACTGGCTGGAGACTATGGCCCCAATTGTACAAACACTTAGTAATATTCAACTCTGCTCATGTAAGTAGTTCCATTGACTTGGTGGGACTACTCACCTTCATAACTATTTAATAAACAAAACAAAACACAAATTATACCCATAATACATGATCACACAGGGTATGTGGTGCACACCAGGATGGGAAAATAAACATGTTTACCACATGTATATAACCACATGTGGTTGAGAAACCCAAAATACCTTATAAACAACATGGTAACATTTTTTAGACTATAACACTTTTCAAGACAAAGTCCTGTTTAGACAGATTCCATCTAAAAGTCATTTTAATCTACCTAACGTTTGTTGAAGATTCTCATTAGTCCCATAAAAGCCTAATTCTTTCTTGAGTCTTTAACTCTTGGCCACACCAAGATTCCTGTGGCAATGAGTTCCACTGATGAATTATACCCTGTACAAAATTATTTCCTTATATCACTTTGACAAGTTGTTGTTCACGGAGCTAATTAAACTACACCACCACAAAGCAGCCACCTCCCCAACAGAGGCAGCCAGACCACCAGCACACGGCGCAGCAGCACGGAGAAAAAGAAACGCAGACCGGGGTCATGTTGGCACAGAGCAGGCAGGGCCCTGGGCTAAGTCTATAGGCACCATCAGCCCGAGCTCAGACAGGAGGGACGGCTACATGAGGACGGCAGGTCAGTGGGATGATGGCACGGGACGCCGGCTCGGAGGCCATGGCTTCTCCTACCGGCCTACAACCGGGGAAGGCAAAGCTCGGGGGAGTCTGCATAGAGGGTAGCGGGGAGCCGCCTTCCCAGGCCGCGCAGTGCCGCAGCCCCTCCCTCGCCCTTAGGCGGCGGGTGGCAGACGAGCCCCGAGGAGGACGGGTGCCGACCGCACTCACCGCGGCCCGAGAACACGTAGAGCTGCGAGACGAAGAGCGCGACGCTACAAAGCCGCTTCAAAGCCGACAGCCCAGGCACCGCCAGCGCCACCATCTTGGCTCCATCCGGGGCCTCGCCGATCCCCTTCCCGGCAGGCGCAGAGCGCGAAGACACGGCCCGCGCGGGTGGGGCAGGAGCTGCGGGGACGGCGCAAGAACGCAGGCGAAGCCGGCCCCTCTCCTGCGGCGGGGCGGGCTGAGGGGTTGGCCTAGACGGCACGGGAACCAGACGAAGGGCCTGTGGCTGGGGTGAGGCACGAGCTGGAATAGCGCGTCCTCCTATGACCCATCAGCCGCCCTTCCCTCAGCGCCCCCGTCTGATAGGCTATGCCACCCCGCCCCTCTCCGATAGGGCTGGCAACTTTCTAATTACCCTTGTCCCGCCTCTTCCCCAAGGCCCCATACCCCCACTCCTTCCATCCCCCATGGCTCTGTTGCTCGCTCTCCGCCACCCTCACGTGCTCATTTGCAGGGAGTTGGGGCAGTTGTGTGGAAGGGAGTTAGGGGACTCTGATGCGGGGGGCGGGGGCTCCTGGATAGAGCCACAAATGAGGGAGGTGGGGCAGGGGGTTGTGGTGTGGCAGGGGATACTGGCTCAGTGTGTGGGCTCCAGGGTGGGGCCAGAAATGAGGTGTTCAGGATGCAGGAGGGGGCTCTGGACTGGGGTAGGCGGTTGGGGTACTGGAGGGTGGGTGAGTGCTGGGATGCAGGAGGGGGCTCTAGGCTGGGGGGTTTGGAGTGCGGGAGGGGATTCCCATCTTGGGCAGGGGTTTGGGGCGTGGGCTCTGGATGGTGCTCACCTCGGGCGGCTCCCCGGAAGCAGCAACATATCCTGCTCTGGGAGCTGCCTCCAACTGCTGGCACCACCCCTGCAGTGTTTCCCGGCTCATAGGAGCTGCAGAGCCTGAGCTCAGGGTGGGAGCAGTGCACGGAGTGCCCATGGCCGTGCCTCCACCTAGGAGCCAAGGAACGTGTCGCCACTTCTGGGGAGCCAGGTAGGGAGCCTGCCTTAGTCCTACTGCACCGCAGACCGAATTTTTAATGGCACAGTTAGTGGTGCTAACTGGAGCAGCCAGCGTCCCATTTCGACCCGGTGTTCCAGTCAAACACTGGACACCTGGCATATCTAGATAGCTTGGGCCCTACCAAATTCACTGTCCGTTTTGGTCAATTTCATGGTCATAGGATTTTAAAAATCATACATTTTATGATTTCAGCTATTTAAATCTGAAATTTCAGGGTGTTGTAATTATAGGATTCCTGACCCAAAAAGGAGTTGCAGGAGGTAGGGGGGGTTGCAAGATTATTGTAGCGGGGGTTGGCTTACTTCTGTGCTGCCGTCAGAGCTGGGCCATTGGAGAGCAGCAGCTGCTGGTAAGGAGCCTAGCTCTGAAGGCAGAGCCGCCACCAGCAGCAGCAGAGAAATAGGGATGGCGTGGCATGGTATTGCCACGCTTACTTCTGTGCTGCTGCAGGCAGAGCTGGGCCCCTTAGACAGCAGCCACTACTCTCTGGCCACCCAGCTCTGAAGGCAGTAACAGAGATGTAAGGGTGGCATGGTATGATATTGCCACGCTTACTTCTGCGCTCCTGCTGGCAGGGCGCTGCCTTCAGAGTTGGGCACCTGGACAACAGCCGCTGTTCTCCAGCTAGCTCTGAAGGCTGCTCAGAAGTATGGGTGGCAATACCATGACTCCTCTCTGCAACCCCCTTTTAGGTGAGGATCCTCAATTTGAGAAACGCTGGTCTCTCCCATGAAATCTGTATGGTATCGGGTAAAAGCACATAAAAGACCAGATTTCACATCAGGAGACCAGATTTCACGGTCCGTGCTGCATTTTTCATGGCCATGAATTTGGTGGGGCCCTATGCAGAGACAGATAAAAGTTCATACACAACTTTTAAATTTTTTTCCTTCTTTATTTAGCTTTATAGGGTCCTGATTCAACAGCTTCCCAGGCCGACCCCTGTGTTCACACAAAGTCCTGCAACCTCCTCTGTGAAGTGCAATGATAGCGTTACACCAGCTGACAGTGCTATGCGGGGACCAGCACCATGAAGCAGTCTTCAACCCCCTTTTACAATGCCCTAACAGCGCAGCATGTCTCCCTGCATCAAGTACTGAGGGAGTGGTACGTATACCAGGCTCCTGCTCCCTTCCTCCTTCTGCAGTAGCTGAGCCTCTCCCATCCCTAACAGACTGCTTCTCTTTCACCCCTGGGAAACCAAGGCACAGAAAAGGCACAGGGGTTAAAGTAAAGAATGGCACGGGGAGCAGAGCTTCTCCTCATCCTCTGGGCTTGGGGGATCTTCCCTCCTGCACCTCTCCTTAAGTGGTGTGGGGAGAAGAGTGGACTCACCCTATCTTAATCTAACTCAAACTCCAGACATGACAAGATTTCCCAGTCAGTCACCAATGTGACCCCTGTGCTCTCATCTAATTTATGTCAACTCTTGCCTGCCATTACCATACAGGTACATCACCATCAGCTTATCAATTGGGTCCAATACTTAGAAGATAGCTGTGGTGGTAGCATGTTGATTATTAATATGTCTCTTGGGCGGTAATCTATGTACAGCTTCAGTAATGCATAAGTAACACAAGCATCAATCTGTCCATCTGCCTTTTTCATCCTCATGAGCTACAGACTCTTCCATATTCCTGTGTGGGTGTAACAAATCAAGCATTTATAGTCATGGTGAATGAACTTGAACACAACCACCAAATTCTGCATGATTGAAGCTGGAGCCTGAAGAACATAGTCTAAATGAAATAACCAGCCAACCACCTGATCTTTTCATTTCTGCTGGTATTTTGATGTTCAGATTATCAGATAAGGTGGGTTTTTTTAAAAATACTTAGCCATATGCTGAAATCCACTGATACAGTAACATGTATGGTTCATGGCCTGGGTCTCTGCTCTGTGACGTTTAGCCCTTACTCTTACAATGTGCCCACGTATCCATAACATGACAGGAGCCTTAATTTATATGCTACACTCTTAGATGAAATTCACAAGTACAAGTCATATGGGACTCAAAGCACCTGTCCATGACAGCCTAATCAAAGATCACAAGTGATGCAAATCACTAAAGCAGGAGTGTTTTCATGTCTATATATAGAAAAGGGAGATGACTATAAATTCAGGATTTCTTTTAAATAACTCAATCTGCTATGGATCTATCACTGATTTCAATAAGTTGCATAAAGATTATGTAATACCAAATAAATAAAAATTTAGTTGGTATCTGTCATAAATATAAAGGGAAGGGTAAACACCTTTAAAATCCCTCCTGGCCAGAGGAAAAACCCTTTCACCTGTAAAGGGTTAAGAAGCTAAGATAACCTCTCTGGCACCTGACCAAAATGACCAATGAGGAGAGAAGATACTTTCAAAGCTGGGGTGGGGGGGAAACAAAGGGTCTCTCTGTCTGGGTGATACTTTTGCCGGGAACGGAAAAGGAATGGAGTCTTAGAACTTAGTAAGTAATCTAGCTAGATATGTGTTAGATTCTGTTTTGTTTAAATGGCTGATAAAATAAGCTGTGCTGAATGGAATGTATATTCCTGTTTTTGTGTCTTTTTGTCGTTTAAGGTTTTGCCAAGAGGGATTCTCTATGTTTTGAATCTGATTACCCTATAAGGTATTTACCATCCTGATTTTACAGAGGTGGTTCTTTTACTTTTTTTCTTCAATTAAAATTCTTCTTTTAAGAACCTGATTGCTTTTTTCATTGTTCTTAAGATCTAAGGATTTGGGTCTGTGTTCACCTATGCAAATTGGTGAGGATTTTTATCAAGCTGTCCCCAGGAAAGGGGGTGTAGGGTTTGGGATTTTGGGGGGAAAGACATTTCCAAGCAGGCTCTTTCCCCGTTATATATTTGTTAGACGCTTGGTGGTAGCAGCGATAAAGTCCAAGGGCAAAAGGTAAAATAGTTTGTACCTTGGGGAAGTTTTAACCTAAGGTGGTAAAAAATAAGGTTAGGGAGTTTTCCTGCAGGTCCCCACATCTGTACCCTAGAGTTCAGAGTGGGGAAGGAACCTTGACAGTATCTTACTGCCATGTTGAGTGTTACTGAGACCATACGTTCTTCTTCTTTACACAACTGCTGCTACTTCCCTTTTTCTCCTTTTCCCTATTTTCTCTTTGCCTGTTCCCTCTGAATTTTCTTCCTTGCAACAACTTCCAGTTCACACCCTTTCAAGTCTTCACTCCCATCCCTTTTCCCCTTCAATTTGTTAAGAGGGATGTTGATATTACAGTGTCATTACTGGGCTATGAGATGACACTACACTGAGATGGGTAAATTTACCTATTCCCTGTCAATCGGAGTCATTGTTTCAGACTGTCTGCAAACACAAGTGGACGTATAACGGATTTACAACTGTTCACATTTGGAAGGTTATATCTGCAGTCAGGGGTCCTAGAAATTTACACTTCAAAAAAACAAAACAAAATAAAAACTTAAATTCTGCATAGCTTAAGTTTGTCATGTAGGGTACATAAGATGGGCCAGATGCGGCCCCCAGGCCATATATTTCACACCTCTTCCTTGGCATTTTGTGTAGAGGAGAAAAGCTATTTTTACTTGCTCTTTTCCCTGTTAGCCCTCAAAAACTTTGGGGCAGGGGGGAAGTAAGGGTAATCATTGCCAAAGTTTTTAAAGTGACCATGAGGTAAGAAAAGGGGAGAAAAATTATACTGTCACTTCAAAGTATGCAAAAGATTATAGAATATTTCCTCCTCAACTTCCATTAATAGAACAGGCAGTGAAATAAAAATTAGGAAGAAAATATACATCTTTAAAGAGGATCTGAAGATAAAGGCATTGCACAGATCAGCAAGAAAACCATTACTGTAGACATCATTAGTAACAGATGAATATTTCCAAAATACCACTTTATATATTTGCTTAGTAATATTTTTATAACATCCATTTGAACACAGCAAATTCCACAGGTTTTAAACTATGCTTCATGCTAGACTAATGTCAATATTACATACTTTGATTAAATTAACAAAAAAAAAGTATTTATTGCATCATACTGAAATTAGATTGTAAGCTTTTCAGGACAGAAATCATGTCTTCCTGTCTGTAACAGAAGATTTTTGAATGCTATAAAATTAATTACGTATTTTTGTGATATTGTACTCCATTACGGCTGCTTCTTCTCCAGTTGTAGCACAACACCACTGTCATACACCTGTGCTACTCTAAGACACTGACTCTTTCTATATAGATGAAATTACGTCCTGCTCTTCAAGGGCCAGATTAGTATAGGCAATTTTGCATGTTCAGGGACTCCCAGGACTGGGCCCAAAGAGTAGACTCAAAGGTGCACAAATGTCACACAGAAGGTTATTAACTTTGAATTTTCTGTTTAAGTAAAATACTTATACATTAAATCCTACTTTTTGCTTTATTTTTTAAGATGTCAGGAAACTAATTATGTAAGTCAGTGTACCTAATTTAGTTTGTTTCAGACAATTGGTTTAGTGCTATTTAATATCAAGTTGTACAAAAATTAGACAAGCCACATTACTGAAACAACTGTACAAAAAAAACATGAAATTAGAGCATAGACTTGTACAGAGAATAAACATCTCTAAACAGATTGTTCTAGTGAAGATTTATTCAATTGCCAGGAAGAGTAAACTTTTTAATCTAATTACAAAATGGAGCAATTAAAAGTACAAATTTAGATTCAACATACAACTAGGCTGATGTTTCCAATAAACTCTGTTGTAAAGATAAAATAATTAAAGAAATTTACATGAAACAGATTTTTCAACATTTTTTTCTAATGCCCATATCCCAAACAAAGCAGAAAACACCACAATGCATTCTATGGGTTTGGGGTTTTTTTGGTTTTGTTTTGTTTTTAAGTCTTTTCTAAGTGAATTTAGTACTTGTGAAAGGAGCCAAGTTTACAGCACTGGAAATGGAGATTTTCCATGTATTCACAGAACAAGAACCCTACAGCCAACAACCTATGTTCCCTACATTGCTTAGGCAGTATAATTCAACCTCTCTCTAGGTGGTCACCTTTGAAATAAATGGTTATTCAATCATAATGCCCATTCAGTGCCTGTCTTTGCTGCTGAGACTTACAACAATACTACCAACATGTGTGTAGCCTGTAGACATTAGTTCAGTAGGAACTAGGCAGGACCCAAACAAAAATATTTGAGAAAACTGAGGTCAAAACAAATATATGAGGAGCATTTTAATTTCATCTACAAGCTGCCAAGTTTCTGATGCAAGACAAGTAAGTTACATAGCTACCTTCTGACTATCTGATTAAGTTTTTTAGCAGTAGCAGCAAGTACGCTTTCCAGTGTTTTTTCTCTTGATCACTGTAATGGAGCCCCAGCTTTATTTATATAGCAGAAACAATACATTTTGTAGCACAGGTGTAGGGTTTTTTCCTAATTGGAATTTTCCAGTTGCTATGGATTCATGTGATTGCTAGAGGAGTCCAAGATTTGCATCTGTCCTTCACACTATCCCAAAAGCACCCACATCAGCTACATTTTTGTTCATCAATTCAAAGACCTTGCAAATAAGCACAACAGTATTCGAGAGAGGAGGAAAAATAATTGGCTTCCTTTAGGGTTAACATGGCTCCCAGTTAGCAGCAATTTCAGAATTCTTCCTCTGCAGATAAAGCATGTGATTTCTTCAGTTTCTTTAGTTTTTCAATGGCAGACGTTACCAAAATCTCTCCATGAACCTTATTGTCTCTTGTTCGCACATTGACAGCATTATTCACTTTTTCCTTTTCTCCAACCACTGCAAGAGAAATATTGCAGAAAGACATTAATGGATATGCAGCAAGCTTGTAACTTTTGAAGAGTAAATAACTACTAGAGAAAAATTCACTGGGACCAATGCTGGTCACCACTCCAGCCCCGTATCTTAGTCCTTTCACACATTAAAGAAGATATACCCTACCATTTAAACATAAAACTATTTTACACTTGCACCTTTTCCTTTAATCTTTTTTTTTTAAAAATATGTGAAAAGAAACTCCTGCTTTAACTAATTTGCTAAAGTCTGCTTAATCTCCTGTTTACATTATGAAATTTAAAATAAAATCAAATTCCATACTAGCATTTGAAGTTTATAACCAAAATTTAACAAAGAAAACATTTAAAATGATCAGAAACCTAAATACACAATTACCTAAAATAAAATTATACTGTGCAAGCTGTGCATTTCTTATTTTCTTGTTTAATGTGCAGCTGTGATCTAGATCAACATCAGCCATAAATCCTGCTTCAAAAAATTCATGGCAAACCTAAAAGAAAGTTAAAGTTTCATTAATATTACAGTATATATACTTCACCAGAGATCATGACTCTGATCCTCCAAAGCATTTAAGTATGCATACATATGCTCTTGCAATGAGTTCCATTGAAAGCATTGAGACTATTCACTTGAGAAAATTACACAAACTTATGTATTGGCAGGATTAGGGCAAATTTATTCTATTATCTTAACAGACAACTTTATAATAAAACACTGATTACAATATACGAGATGGCTACTCTAGGACTATTATTTTTTCTTAAATTAGAGAATTACTGAAGCCTAAGCAGACAGAAAGACCAAAATAATGTTATTTTTGTTAGGAATTACATGTCCCCCTCTTAGATTCATGACCATTTTAGAACGTAATAAAGACTACAACAACAATGCTTTCATCTCTGCCAAGCATGTCTATATTTCCTAAGAGTTACACATGTTTCTGTTCTAGGATGGAATTATAGGTTATCCAATAGCTGATAAAATTTATTTCTATTTTTTAAAGGAAGTTTACTCTTACCTGCTGAGCATATTTTTCACAAGTAGGCCCCACAGGGACAACCATGACTTGGCGAGGAGAGAGCCAGAAAGGCCTGGCAAATGTAACAAAAATAAAATTTATATATATAAAAAAATATATATATTGTATATACACATACACAAAACACACACCTTCCATTCATGCCAGTGTTTATATGCCCTAAGAGTAGCTGAATAAATTTTAAAATTAAATATTTTTGAAAATTAGACATCTAGGCTAAGGCATGATCTTTATCTTGCTCAATTCACCTAGAACAACAGTTTCTGAGGCCTCTGGGGGGCTGTGAGAAGGTTTCAGGGGGTCTGGCAAGCAGGGCTGGTGTTAGACTCGCCGGGACCCAGTGCAGAAAGCCAAAGCCCCACTGCATGGGACTGAAGCCCAGGGCTCCAAGCCCCACTACCCGGGGTTGAAGCCGAAGCCTGAGCAATTGCCCTGCTTGCTATCCCGTAAGGCCAGCCCTGGCTTACATATGCAAAAAAACAGTTGTTGTGGCACAACTGGGCCATGGCGTTTTTAATAGCATGTTGGCAGGGCCTCAGAAAGAAAAAGGTTGAGAACCCTGACCTAGAACATAATATATTAATGAATAATTTTGGATCTATGTTAAATAAACAGAAGCCATGAAATTTACTGTTAAAACTAAAATAATGTCATGAATTCAATCCACCTCTGTTGTAGCTAATTGATCTTTAGACACTACAGAATATTATATGCACGGCTGTTCCTTAGAACAATAGGAAAAAAAAATAAGGAAAGAGGTTACTAGTTTAAGTTTAAATTTACTTTCGTGTTAATGTTGTTAAAAAGAGAGAAAACATTACCGTACAATAATCAACATTTTCAGGTGGCTTTGGAGTCCGTTCATATTACGGTGTAAAGGGAAATCACTTGTAGGTATTGTTCTCTGAAGGAAATATTCTAGTGACACCACCACCCTGGGATTTTGCACTTCTGCTTGTGACTTCAGTACCAACTAGCTTAGATAAAAGTCTAGAATCCCTTGAATGAGCTCCGGATACAAACCCCCAGGGCATGAAGATATATGCACAACTTTGATCTCCTGTTCCTTTCCAAGTTACACGTTTGGTTTCATAACTAGACTGCATTTTAATTTTTCACACATGATCCATTTTCATTTCTTTTAGACTTTTAAAATAATAGGTGGACTGTGTGTTCGTGAGTGAGATCTGTTCCCTTTCTGCCCCCCTCCATTCAGTGGTGGTACTTTATCACTAATTAATGAAGAAATTATCTTTCAGATATTAATCATGAATAAGGGAGCAGCTTTTACTATGTTAAGACTCTTTAATTTATGGATCTATATATGTACAACAGTCATAAGTATAAAAAATGAATCTGCAAGCTAAATAATGAAGGCTGAATAAAATGTATTCTGCGAACGTTTCAACTGCCATATTTATAATATGGTCTTACTGTACTAGTTTTATTATAATCTTGTAAAACTGAATTTCTGATCTTTTATCTTAGTCTACAATTATGTCATGTTTGAGTGTGTCTACTGTATACGGTAGTCTTAATATTTTAAATATGAACCATTATATTAATGATTTTATGGCACTCAGGCCTCAATGGGACATTCCACCTTTTGGTTGTTTTGCCTGTACTACTTTGCTAAGAGTCTTGGTGAAATATTTTGCATTATGATGTGTTGGCTATTAGGAAGTTTCTATATTTTCTAGCTATGTTCCTAATTGTTTCTTAGTACTGTACATGTGTCACATACCATTTTCCTCCATAATTTTCTGCTAGAATAGCTATCATTCTCTCCACTGAACCCAAAACAGCTCTATGAATGATCACTGGCCTTTTCTTATCATCACTATCCTTACTGCAAAGAAAGAAAGACAGACAGAAAGAAGATTAAGACATTTATCTTAATCAGCACACATATAAGCTTACTGTAATTTTTCCATCTTCTACTTTGATTTTTATATAAGTATAAGATTAAATATTAGCAAGTTATTAACTGCATGAAATCCAACTGCTTTCACTCCAAATTTACTGTGACATACTGACATTCATGAAATAATTGATGGTCAAAGCAGTTTGAAATAATCCTGCCTACATATAATGAGAAATGGACACAAAGGAAAACCCTGTTTTTGTAAACCACTGTGAACTTGGATTCAGATTCCAACTCTATGACTCAGGTCCACATCTATATATTTTCATCTCTGATATACTTCTTTCCACTCATTTTTACTGACATTTACATTAAAAAATTATCTTCATTAGGATCTCCCCTGTTCCTACTGCTTATTTCCCACCTGAAGCTTCAATCCTTTGGTTTCTGTGGTGATTATCATGCTGTAAAAAATAAACAAATTGGGACTTCAGATGACAAATAAGCAGCAAGAGCAGATCAAATCCAAAACAAAGATCCTACTTTTTTTTATTAAAAAAAGTCAGAGAAGAGAAATTACCACACAATCAAATGTGGCACAACAGAAAACTAATGGAAGTACTTGTCCAAGGACAACATGACTGTCACAGATTTGTTTACTCTACAAGAAAGTGTTCTTCTCTCAAGTTGGAAACCAAAAATGGTATTTCCCTTTTCCAAAAGAATTGTTCATGTATGATTTATGCACCTCCATCAAGGATAACCCAGCTGATCTGATCTTTACTTTAAAGTTGTGACTGTGTCAAGAACCCAATCCTGCAAGGTGCTGAGAGTTTAATGTGTAAACTTAATGTGTTCCATGGAGGCATCAAACCATAGTGATTGATTAGTGTGTCTGTCCCAAATAAGTTTCCTCAAAGGCTACCTAAGGTCAGATGCACTCAGTTCTCTTCAGGAAGAGCAGACCAAACAGACAAGTTATCAATTTTTTCTGCTCATTTACATTTACAATAAAACTGAGCAGTTGAACACACTACTAAATCAGGGGGAAATCCTCAGCTCAGGGCCCAGTCCAAGTACTCATTTCCACTGCTGGGGATCTCTTGCCCCGCTAGTGCACCTAGGCATTTAGTGATAGGTCAGCAGCTCGTCCAGAGGCTAGTAAATAATTAAACTGCCTTTGTTTAACTCAGTTTTTTTACTTTCACTGTTTGTAGCTCTCATTAAAAATATCTGTCATGTAGTTGACAAATTAAGAATTCAAGCACTTACCCCACATAAGTAAGGTTAAATCTGATTGGTAGCTGGAAGTCAAGTTGGATGGTAGCACACTGATGGTACCTGCCAATAGCATCTTTGATTTTAATATCAATCTGCAAAGGAAATGCCACAGTTACTATATGCTGTTTTTTTGGTTACTCTATTATGCACCCACAAAGTGCATTAGAGCTTCATTGCAGAACTGCACTGATTTACTAACCTTAGGACCATAAAACGCTCCATCTCCTGGATTCAACTTCCATGGCTCTCCAAAGTCATTCAAACTGTTTTGTAATTGCTAATTATAAAAATCATAAAGATGAAGTTTAAACATTACAGTTTTTTTTAAAATTGTATTTCTTTTAACACAGTCCTGCCAAAGCCTCCCACGAAGGGGAAGGTGAGGGAAAGAACTGTACTTCAAAGATTAAGTCACACAAAGTAAGAAAATGGGTAGGACTGACTCAAATATCTTAGCAATATAAAGAGTTTTGAACTAATACAGCTTAAAAAAACATAATTACTTTAAATCCTGGCTTTTGTGGCTATAGAGTAAGTGGAGATCAACAAAAAGAAATTTCTGGTCGAAAGTCAGTTCAAGCTATGGGAATGTACAAGAAACTATATGAATCAAGAGATTTGTTTGGTCAGTGCTTCACATGTCTCAGCAAGCATATCTATCAAGTACAGATTTTAGAGCCCAGCCCTAAAAAAACCCCTCCTATTCGTGTAAATAATCTCACTGACTTCAGCATGACTGAAGGTTTGCAAGACTGGACATTAGACAGTTTTATGTGTCACAGATTCCAAGGCCAGACAGGACCATTGTGATCATCTAGTCTGACCTCCTGTATAACACAGGCCATAGAACTTCCGCCAAAATAATTCTCAGAGCATATATTTTAGAAAAACATCAAATCCTGATTTCAAAATTGGCAGTGGAAAATCCACTATGACCCTTCATAAGTTCTTCCAATGGTTAATTACTCACTTTAAAAAATATTGTGCCTTATTTCCAGCCTGAATTTATCTAGCTTCAACTTTCAGCCATTGGATCATGTTATACCTTTCTCTGCTAGATTGAAGAACACGTTCTTTAATGTTTTCCCCATGTAGATACTTGAAGACTGTAACCAAGTCACTCCTTAACCTCCTCTTCAAACTAAACAGATTGAGCTTCTTGAGATCCCACGGGTTGCAGGTGGCCCACCACTGCTCTAAAGCATGTTTTCTAATCCTTTAAATGTTCTTGTGGCTCTTCTCTGAACACTCTCCAATTTTTCTATTATCTTTCTTGAATTGTGGGAACCACACTGGACACAGTATCCCAGCACTAGTCACACCAGTGCTAAAGATAGAGGCAAAACAACCTCTCTACTCCTACTTGAGATTCCTCTGTTTATGCATCCCACGATGACATTAGCTCTTTTGGGAGTTCATATTCAGCTGATTATTCACCATGACCTCCAAATCTTTTTCAGAGTCAGTGCTTCCCAGGAAAGAGTCCCCTATCCTACATTCTTTGTTCTGAGATGGATACATTTAACCCTATTAAAATGCATTAAATTTATGTGAATGGAAGTATTAAGTACCTTCCTGCGTTACCTTTTCTGCATGGTCCCAGATCTCTACTTCTCCTAGGAAGTTTTCAGGTCTTGTAGAAAGGTGCATTTGCAAAGTAAAACCAAACACTGCGTAAACTGACTTCAAAAAGTTCAGACAGCCTTTCATTTCTTCCTCAATCTGAAATTTAAGCAACACAAAGCAACTGACAAACAGAACATCAAAATGCTGCCACGGAGAACTTGGTTGATCATTACTATTGTTTTATCACTGTAATTAGGCTTGCTTTATTTTTTCAGAATCAGAAGCATGTTTCATAGGCCTGGGATTTTGAGGACAGGTTCTACCACTCTCTCTCACACAGTGTATTAATTTACTCCCCATTGAAATCTTTGGGATCACTCATGGAATAAGATACTACTCAACATAGTTAAGCGGAGAACATCGCCATGATATACCACTTTTTTCATTGGTATACCACTTTTCAAGATATATCACTTTTTGCCTGGTTATTTGATCTCTTGGGACTCTGTCATTCTTGCTTCAATATCCTTGTGTCAAGATATGTAAAAGTAAGATCCCGTATAGGATTTTTTCCTGTAGATATACAGCTCCAGGTAGGCCTACTCAACAACCCACAGTCAGTAACATCTCAAATGCTTATTGTTCTTCTTTGCAAATAAACAACATTTATGCCATAAAAGGAAAACTTAATAAAACATCAGGGCATTATGCTGTTGGCAATTTCTGATGTCGACACTAAGCATGATAGGGTACTGACTTAAGCAATTATTTTGAAAACTAAGACATACTGAATCCCAGGTGAATTAGAAGGAAGCAACCTAACAATAGGGATGAAATAAAAGCAACAAATGTTGCACTTAAGCTACACAATAACATGCCAAGAGAAGATAAAGACTAAAAAGTTCTTCACCTGTTCCATTGTGCAAAAGATGTGTGCATCATCCTGTTGAAAACGCCTGACTCGAGTCAAACCACTCAAAGTCCCTGAGAGTTCATTTCTATGAAGAACCCCAAAGTCTGCAAATCTAATAGGCATTTCCCTCCATGAGCGCGGGCGATGAGCGAACATCAAGCTAGAAGAGACATAAAGTATATTTAGGCAGGAAAACTTATACCCAACATTCTTTGGATTTTTTTAACATGCTAATATTCTTCCAGAAGGCCCAAGATATTTTGAACTAAATAATTTTAGCCCAAAGAAAAAACAAGATAAATATGTTATCAGTTACATAACACTTTGCAAGAATACACCAATTAATTCTCTCCACACCCCTGAAGGGTAGGCAAGTATAGCCACCATTATACAGACGGTGAAAATCAGCCACAGCAAAATGTAACTTGACAAAGACCACAGAAACAAGTCCCTGCTGGAGCTGAAGTTAGAACTCAGTGGTTTCCAGCACCCTGTCCTACTTTCTAGCCATGAGATCATCCCATCCCTATCAAATGTAAATTTTAAACAAACTGCAAAAAACGAAAGAGAGATGCAAATTATATCTTTTCTTCCCCTAAACATGTATTTAATAAACAGGAGCAGAACTGTACGCAAGCTCTCTAAAGTTACCTTGGGACAGGCACTGAGGACAGCTGATTGCCCTATAAGGGTTGTCTACAGTATAGGTTTTACTATATATTAACTTCAGTGTATTACTATATTAATTTCCCTGAGCCTCAAAACACTATCTTCACAAGTAGGAAAATAGGAAAGATAATACAAACCAATGTCCTGGACAGTTCATGGGCTTAAGGGCAAATGTTTCCTTCTCAACATCAAATGAGAACATGTTTTCACTGTAGTGCTGCAAGTGACCTGATGCTTCCCACAGTTTAGTGTTGTAGATGTTAGGTGATACTACTTCAGTAAAATTACGCCTGTGATATTCCTCCTAGAAAATAAATCCAAAAAAGGTGATGCAGCCCAAAAAAAAAAAAAGTTACAGAGAGTGTGTTTTACATACAGTAAAGGCCTGATCCTGCAAGCCTTACTTACAACAGATCTTTATTGAAGTTAATGGGATCACTCACATGTGTAAGGATTAGATGACTAAGATCAAGTTATAAATGTATTGTGATTTAATAATTAGAAAAAAAAATTAAGGTCAAATTCTTCCTGCAGTTACCCCACACAACCTCACTAAAGTTTCCGTATATCTGTACACAAATATATACACAGGGCACACATTTTTTTGTGTGGGAGAGGCTTAATGCAATAGTTGGATCAATAAGAATCACAGAAATGTAGGGCTGGAAGGGACCTCAAAAATGTGTCATTTGAGCTAAGGCCAGTCTGAAAAAAAGCAACATCTTCAAGAGAAAGGAAAGATGTTTAATTATGTTGATTACAAATTTTAAAGACATGCCCACTTACTCGTATGAAATCCATTAGTGTATTATAAAGAAAGGCACCTTTGGGGAGGAAAAAACAGCTTCCTGGACTCAGATCATGGAAGAAGAAAAGTTCTTGCTCCTGTACAAATAAATGTAGAATTCAGTAAGCCCACTTGTATGAATGGTTTTTCCAGTTCAATCACTATTTTTAAATTGAGAGTGTTAAGACTCCTTGTTAGAGACAGTGAATGACATTTTTAGAATGCAGCAATAAGAACTACAGAAAAGAACAAGACTAAAAATGTTGAGAAAATAATTTACCAGTAATTCTGATTTTCAGAAGGCATGTGACACTAGAGATCCATCTTCAAACATGTGACTGACTAATCTCACATTTCCTCAAAATTCTCAGCCCTTAAAACAGTTTCACCAGTGGGTACAACACTCCTACCCACTAGTGCAGGAAAGAAGTCATTTGGCAGGCACACAACACTCACAGGTGAGATGGTTTAATAGCTCAGGATTTTGGGCAAGTAGAAACTTTGTCAAAATCCTGTACTAAGAATTTGGGCATAGGAGTGGGGAATCTAGTACTGTACATTTTTCTTTAGAGAACCTCTGTTAATATCCTATTTATCATGTTACACCAGTTCATCCATTTTTAACCGGGAAAGAAACAAATGTAAATACATATTGAACAAAAGATCATACTTCATATTAAGGTTCAGTTTATAAAGGCTTAATAAGTGACCAAGATGTTGTAATGCATGGTTACTTTATTGTTATAGAGTCCAACAAGTCAATATGTGGCTTATATAGTTATAACAGCTTTTACTGATATGCTTATAACCATCTGTAACATACATAGGACTCATGCCTGGAACATATATATGACATCTACTGATCTTTTATTAACCCCTTGAAAACTTTATAAATGGAATCCTAATATGAAATGTGATCAAACACAGATCACATTTATTATCTGTACAATTCTGACTAGTGTAGTAGGTTCCTCACATAGCTAGTCAGGTCCGCGCCTTGAGTTTACAGGCTAGAATTTAGGCAAGATTAGAGTACAAACAAGAGAGGAGAGAGTCAGCTTGGACAAGGTATATATAGGCATAAATAGGACTTATGGAGACTCAGTGCGTGTATACTTCTCAGTAAACAAGTTTCAGTTTAATATCTTAATGAGTTCAATTATTTGTAGCACATATGTGCATCTAAGTCATCAAATACTTGCTTCACACTTTATTTTCTGATTTATATTTTAGATATAAGGAAATTAATCTGTCATCTGGGAGATTCAGAGAACAGGACTCTTGTCAGTTTTAATCCCATGCTGATTCAGAAAGAAAGCAGGCAACAGAAAACTGGAGGGATGATATGGCAAGAGAAGGAATGATTTCGGAGATTAAAATAATTATGTATGTATAGCCTACCTAGCAGGCAACCATAGGTGGGCATGTGGGGAGGGGACCGAGGAGGGTTTGAACACCAAGGAGAAAGAACAATTATTTAGGGTGGTCCAAGGGAGAATAAATAGGAGTAACAGGATTAAATTAAGCAAAGGAAGATTTAAGATGAATATCAGGAAACAAAAAACAACAAGACCCATTAGACCATGGAATAGTTATAAGGGAAGCAGTGGAAGAAAATCACCATTAGACAACCCATATGGAATAGAGGGATGGACTAACTGGCCTGACTAGTAGTCATCTCTGATTCCTACGTTTTTACAATGAAGCATGCATAATATCTGCAATGGCAAAGTCAGTCTCTTAGTTTTGTTAATGGGTCACCCAACTACTTCTAGCCGTCATTTGGGGATGGCTAATAGTACTCAGTTTTCAGAGGGTCTTTTTGGGAGAAAAAAATATATTTTGGATCATCACCAGAACAACATCCTTTAAGAGTAATAAACATATCAACAGTACCTACCTTTCCAATTTTCCTATGATCCCGATTTCTGGCTTCCTCTTGGAATTTTTCCCATTCCTTCATCATTTTGTTATCAGGGAAGGATATTCCATAGATTCTCTGCAATGTTTCCATGTCAGCCTTTCCCTCCCAATATGTAGAAGAATTCTGATGTTAAAAAACGAACATTTTTTAAAAACAGTATTATACAAACACAGCTGCAGGAGAAGAATAAATGCTAATGCAATCTGATTATCTGACTGCTTCTTGGGAAAAGAATTGTCAAGTCATCCAATATTGGTTTAAAAGACAAAGATACTTGCAGTTAAATGTATGAACGGCTTTTTTGTTGGGATAGTAACACAGCATGCATAAAAATAAATAATTGTTCTAATCATGTATTTGTTGTACTTGGCCATGTTATTTTAACTTGCATCATGTCATTACATTACAAATGAATGTAAAGCAACATGCCGCAACTTCAAAACATGATGCAGTAAGACAGTAGAAAACAGGAGAAAACGTAAAAACTCATTTTCACACTCAAATACTGATACTGTTTTGAGGATTGAACACTTAATCTGAATATTTAAATACAACAGCACCACAGATCTCAAGCACAAAGTTAACTGAACAAAAGGATGCTGAATATTCAAAGGAGATCAAGGACTCTGACCGCCCAACCAAATTAACCAATTAATGGTTGCCAGTAATTTATATTACCTTATTACCACAAGCATCTGCACAAGTTAATTCTGGTTCTTTTGTGCAGAATGTCACTTTAAAGAAGCAGTACTTTCAGGTACAGAAAACTAAGACAACATTAGCAGTCATGTAAGCCCCAGACTTTCAGGGGCCTGGAAAAAATGAAGGAGTCTCAGTTTTCATTTACAAAAATAAGTTTCTAGACTGCTTCCTGGAAAAGAAAGCCTTGAAAACATAAAAAGATATAAACAGATGCTTGTCACTGATTTTTTCCTACAGGTTACACATGATTTACAGTCCCCTTCAAGCCACCCAGGGTAAGCATTCCAGGTTTGGAAAAAATATAATTATAGGTCTTGTGGTCACCCACTCTACAGGGATCTTTTGGTGTAGAAGGGAGACAATCTCAGTGTGCCCACTGGGGGCTTGACAGAGGGTGTGGGAACAACATGTGGTAGCAGACCAGAGGTGGTCTTGAGATGCACATGTGTTAGCAGCTGGCCAAGTTAATGGGATCTAAAAATAAAGAAAACAGCAAAACATTATTTTTTGTGCCAATAAACATGGATGTTCCCTTACTTTGCAAACAAATGGCTACACTAATAATCTATAAAAATGAGTTGATCCTGTTCATTTACATCACTACAGAGCTGAGTGCAATCAGGATAGACAAGAGTCAGTTAATTTTTGGGGGGCAGAAGTATGGTAATCAGCAATTTTATTTGGGGTGCGCATAGGGACAAAAGTTAAGGATGGCTTCAACGATGCGACAATCAAGACAATAGACCCCAGTCTATGGCATTTCGGGGAGGAGGGAGGAACAAAAACAAAAACCCTCTAATACACACATCAGTATAATTCAATCTTGCCCCTGCTCTAGTTAGCTTTGAAAGCTTATCAATTTCTACTCTTTACCTTAAAAATCTTTAAGGCTTTAATTTTTCCAGTGTGTCTCACATGTGGGCCCCTGCAGAGATCAATCAATGGACCACACCTACAACAAAATAATTCAGACACAAACCTTTTTATTCCTAAAATTTTACAACACTTTAAAATATAGTCAGTAATAATGTACAAGAAAAGGTATGGTGACTAGCACACATCTACTAATACAATAATTATACGTAAATGGTCAGAAATTTATGTGGTGTGTTTTACATGCAATTGTGCAGCATGAGGTCTAGTGTCAGAAATATACTAGGAGCCAGTACTGCAAAGTGCTTCCCGCTTGAGTCATAGGAAGCTGACTCTTGGGCAATACTCAGCACCTATCCTCAACTACCTAATGATGCCATCTAAGACAGTGGTTTAAACCTGGGGTACACGTACCCCTGGGGGTACGCAGTGATCTTCCAGAGGGTACATCAACTCATCTAGATATTTGCCTAGTTTTACAACAGGCTACCTAAAAAGCACCAGCAAAGTCAGTACAAACTAAAATTTCGTACAATCACTTGTTTATACTGCTCTATGTACTTACATTTTAGTGTATAGTATAATATTTATATTTTTACAATTATATGGTAAAAATGAGAAAGTAAGCAATTTCTCAGTAATAGTGTGCTGTGAGACTTGTATTTTTATGTCTGATTTTGTAAGCAAGTAGTTTTTAAGTGAGGTGAAACTTGGGGGTATGCAAGACCAATCAGACTGCTGAAAGGGGTACAATAGTCTGGAAAGGTTGAGAGAAGAAGTGAAAGTAAGCCAGTACACCCCGGTACGGCATACCGACAAGAGCAGGTGCACCGTACTGGGGCAGCCCGGCTTCCCCAGGGGGCAATTTAAAGGGCCTGGGGCTCCCAGCAGTGGCTGGAGCCCCAGGCCCTTTAAATTGCCTTCAGAGCCCCGCTGCTGGAGCTCTCGGGGTAGCGGCTGCAGGGCTCCGGCGGCTATTTAAAGGGCCCAGGGCTCCCCTACTTCTACCGCCTCAGCCCTTTAAATAGCTGCCAGAGCCCCGCCGCAGCTACTCCAGGGGCTATTTAAAGGGCTGGGGCGATAGAAGCAGGGGAGCCCCAGGCCCTTTAAACAGCTCCCAGAGCCCTAGCGTGGGGGGGGCTATTTAAAGGGCCGGGGCTCCAGCTGCCTCTGCCGCCCCGGTCCTTTAAATAGCCGCTGGAGCCCCGCCACTTCCCAAGGGCTCCGGCGGCTATTTAAAGGGCCGGGGCGGTAGAAGAGGGGAGCCCTGGGTCCTTTAAATAGCCCCCGGAGCCCCGGTCTGCTGCTGCTACCCCGGTGGGGGGTGTACTTACCTTACAGGATGGGCTGGGGCTGGCTCTGACCCACTCAACCCCGCCCCTTCTGCCCTAGGCCCTGCCCCTTCCGGGGGCCAGAGCTGGCCCCAGCGTACCGGTAGGTCAGTCGACTTACTTTCACCCTTGGTTGAGAGCCACTGATCTAGGACATCCTGTGGCCTGTACACTCTCCCACCAAAGCAGGTAAGGAAGTTTTCATCTCAACAAAATTGACAAAAGAAGTTTTTGCATTTTCCAGCCAGCTTTGCTTTCCACAACCCCAGCTAGACAGGATTCACATCCAACACCATGCTAGCAGTTAACATTACTGCTAGTGGGTTCAAATTCCACTTGTGACCATTTCTTTTATTCTTCTCCCTCAGATGGGAGGCAATTATTACAAGAGTGGATTTGCTCCCCTTGTCTACCATTGAAGACAGGGGGTAATTTTGAGACATGTGTCATCCCCCTGAAGACAAGATGCAATTATGCACAAATACAAATTGCAAATCTAGGCCTCAATCCTGCAGATGTGCTTAACTTTAAGCATTGACTTCAGTGGGACTATTCATGTGCTTAAAGTTAAGTATGTGCACAAGTATCTGTAGGATCAGAGCCCTAGTTAAAAAAAGGGAAGCTTCACGAAGTCTGGGGTGCTAGTTTAATACATTTAGGGGAAATAATTTCTTCCTTCAATTTAGATGGAGTCTTCCCAAATTCCTGCTGTCCAATTATAAAAGTACAGTGTATAGTTATTTAAGCAATGAAATAATGTATGATTCTTGTATATTTTTACCTGTATACTGTGGTAGTCGGCGTGTTAACTCTCTCATTCAGGATACGACATTTGAACTTATTGTACTATATGGGGGAGAAAAAAAAAACATATCTGGAACTAGAATTTGATTAACAAACTACTACAATGACATTCTGGTATAATGGTAGCACTCATTTATGTCATTAGAAGGCACTAAAACTACTAAAGACATAATGACATAATCACACATAGCAGAGAAAGCCTGACATTCCTTCTGGAAGAACACAGTGTTATAAAACATACAGGGAAGACAGGACAATCAGATATAGCTAATCTGTCTGGATGTATGCTGATTATGTGTAGCGTCTTTCCATCAAGTACCTCAAAGTGCTTTTACAAAATATTAAAAACATAATACTACCAAGAGACTGGTAATTAATACCCATTGTACAGATGGATAAAGTAGTAAATCATAATAGTATCCAAATGAATTAAAATTCTATTTTAAAAATCATTTTTACATGCTCATTTCTCCAAGTCTTATAGTAGCTCCAAAGAATTACCTTAAACATATCTAGTAGGATCTCCTTACTGACTTCTAGTCTTTCAAAAGGCTGCTTCTCTTTTATGATATTTTTACAAGTGTTCTCCAATGTAGGGAATTCTGTACTAGATATACCTCTAAACAAAAAATTGGAGAAAAGTTACTATACTTTTAATAACAAAAAAGTTTACTAGGACAATTTATTACCCTCAAATGCCGTAAGGAACCATATTCATTTACTTCATTTTTTTGTAAGGAGAATGGACTCCTTTGATTTAATCACTACAACTGTTCCTTTAGTTTAATACAACTATGCATTCAGCCCGCAGTCCTGCGAACACTTAGGTAGAGGCTTAAACTTTATTATTGTTAGACGTCCCATTGAAATCAATGGGGCTACTCGCTGCAGTAGTTAAACACATGCATAAGTGTTTGCAGGATTGGGGCCTCAAAAGAATATATACCGTTATATAATTGTCCTTTTTCTTTTTTTTACTGATCCCATCTCCACAGCACCTGAGTGCATTAGGATATGTCTACATGGGAATAAAAAGCACCATGGCTGGCGTGGGTCAGCTGGCTCAGGCTGTAGTGCCAAAAAATTGCTGTGTAGATGTTCGTGCTCAGCTGGAGCCCAAACTCCCCCCTCACAGGGTCCCAGAGCCCAAATATCTACACTACAATTTCTCAGCACCAAGAGACCTAAGCACCTGACGCTTAGTCAGGCTTTAAAAAAAAAATCACTCAACTCAAACTCCTGTCAAATGGAAGAAGAGTTTTCTGTACAAAAGATTCAATGCTATCCCCCCTTCAGATGAGGACTGAGAAAACAGACAGTTCAGTTCTTCCAACTTTTAGAGACACTTCAGGAAAAAACAAGGAAGACAACTTGATATTCATGACATTTCCAAGGTTAAACAAAACAAGGAGAAAAAACATTTAGGCCAACTTTATATTTAAGGGAGTAGAAAAGGCATAAGCAAAACAAAAAAAAATTCTTCTTTACTATTGACTTTTAACAACACATGGGCCAGCACTGAAAAGCTACATGTGGCCCAAGTCAGCTGAAAAGACATCCTTTTAGGCAATTTCAGGTTCTCGGTTTTGCCTGGCTATATATACACACCAGAGAGATAGAAAGCAGACAGAAGTATATAACTGTAAACATGATTACACAAAGGGTAAACACCTAAGTAACTTGGGATCAGAAGTCCCATTTTCAAAAATGACATAAGAGACAAAGTTTAATTGAAAGTCATTGAAAACTTAGGCTCTCAAGTGTCTATCACTTCTGGTACTTATGCTCCTAAGTCACTTAGACACCTTAGAAAGTTTTATCCCAAAGTTCTACTTTCTTCACAAAACATTCAGTAACTGTAAGTCTTGAGGAGGAGTCTGATAGGAATAATGATTTCTTCCAAAAATTGCCATGAAGAGAAGACTAACCTGTCAGGTTTAAATCAAAAAATTGATCCACTTTACTTTCTTTTTAATATGCAGGTAAAAACCTGATTCAGTATAACTAAGCCTTAAGTACTGAAGTCAAAAGCAAAATGTTTACAGACATCTGTGACATTTTACCTGTCTTCTATGTACATATCATAATAAAATCCATTCTCAATAGGTGGCCCATAGCACAAACAGCCTCCATAATAACTTTCCATGGCCTCTCCAAGGATGTGAGCACTTGAATGCCAGTAAACCTATAAATGAATAATGAAGTCAGAAAAGCAGGTCACAGGACAATGACTTCGTGGTGTTACATAATTTTTTAAAAAGCCAGGCATTTCTGTCAAAGAGAAGTGGAGAGATGAAGCCACGATATTTAAATCGTAAGCAGGAAATGCTGTTTCTGTCTTTATTTCTACTGTGTGGGATGATTAATGTAAATTCAAATAATTGTATCTGATGAATGCTGGTTCAACGTGATGGTAGCTGTATCATTGTGGCCCTGTTTTATTCTAGTTTGCTTAGTGATTAGACCTCTGGTGTGATTCAGCCACAACTATCTTTTTGTGTTTTGTTCATTTATAAATAGGCTGATTTCTGATTAAAACTTTAATTTATACCCAAATAATGATCACATACACAGCAGTCTGACTATTATAAATGCCATTGTGCACATTATCTGAGGACATTTGATCGAGACACTTACACAATGACAAGTTTTTTAGCTTTTGAACTACTCTGAATTTAGGCTTCAATCCTACAAAGACTTATTCACAGACTTACCTTTATGCACTGTGATTAGTCCCATATGGTAATCAAGGAGACTATTCACAGTGCATAAGGTTAAGCACATTCTTAAATCTTTGCAGAATTGGGGCATTTAGCCCCTAGCCCACAGTAACTTAGGCACATAACTTTATGCACACGCATAGTTCCACTGAGTGAGATACACACATGCCTGAAGTTACTGAAGTGTTGCAGACGCAGGCAGACATATGTTATTCATAGGTCAAATTCTGCATCAGGATGAGATTTCTGTATAAAGTCTAAGATGCCCCACACGTTAACACATTTAGGACTTGATCTTTTGAGATGTTGAGCAACCTTAACTACCACTGTTTTCCCAGGGTCAAAACCCTTAGATGCTTCATCCACAACATATATTAGAGACATTTTTAAAACACCAAACTGCTTTTAACTTAACATACAAATCTAGGTAGTTTTTGTTTTGTTTTCAGTCAACTTCTATACATTAGCTAAAAGAGGGAGAAAGAAAGGAGTCCAAACAATGTGTGTCTATCCATAAATTCCCTTTTGAAATTGCAGATATATAATATACATCAAATATACCTAGTCAAGTCAAAATTATTTGTCACTTGACTAATCATTTAACAATAATTTTGTTGTATACAATATATTGAACTATACTGAGGACTACTGATGTTCAGGATTTTTATTACAAAAGAAAATCAAGATAATAAAAGGGAGATTTCTTTTCAAGATATTAGTTTCTTTAATCAAGTAAAATCAAGAGACCGTTTACTTACTGCCTGAGCTTCTTCGTTATCAAAAGTAAGCAGCTCCAGTGAACAATCTCCCTCCAATGGACGATCCAGATCCCACAATTCACCATTCACTTTGGCTATTACTGCATTATCAGCTAGTCCTCGACTAATGAATAAAAGTAATATAACATGAGTATCAAAGGCATATTGTATATGGCCAGATTTTTAAAGGATTTAGGTGCCCAGGCATTCCCGAAAATCCTACTAGGCACTTATCTGCATTTTTAGGCACCTGAATAACCTTCAAAATCTGGTCCTTTGGCCTCCACAGACTTTTAAAACATTTTCAAACTCGGTTCACTTTTGAGTTACAGACTGTAAACCCTGTGATGACTTACTCTCTCCTGAAGGAAGGATTTGGAGGTTAAGAGAGGATGGGAATTCTGCTTACTGAATAATAATCCCATATTCTATCGTTATTTAGGATTAAATTTCAAGTATCAGAGTTAATTGCTGACAGTTTCATTGGATTTTAAAATAGAAACCATTTTGATCATCTTGTCTAATAACCTGTATAACAAAGGCCAAAGAACCACACCGAGTGATTTCTGCATTAAGTCCAAGACCTGTATCAGTGCTTCCACAATGAAAGCAAGGCAAAGCAAATATTTAAAAAAAAAAGTCAATCATCCACTCAGTGACCCTATATCATCAACTAGCTCCAAACCGGGGGGGGGGGGGGGGGGGGGGAGGGAAAAAATAAACAAAACCACAATCTATTAAAATATGTTTACACCTGCAGTTTACCTAATTCCTGCAGCCAACTGATATGGTGTCATTTTCCAAGATTCCCCTTCAATTACTTTACCATCAGTCAGAATCACTTTGATAGGCTTGCTCTGGTTGGCTGCTCTGTAAGCAAGCAAGGCATCATGCTCTTTTTTCAGTGTTTCATAAAGCTTCAGCCTGTCTTCTATGAAGCTTGGCTCACACTGCAGCTGTAAGAATCACACACAGCGGTCACAAAACTATTTTTAAAAGAGAACACAAACAGGGGAGGTTAATTTACTATGTGTTTATACAACATCTAGCACAATAAGGCTCTGATCTCTGTTAGTGTCTCCAGGTGCTTCTGAAATATAAATAAATACATACGTACATTCATAAACACTTTCAGCCCCCAACGTGTCAGGTTATAACTACTATCATGGCCATTTTCAAGATTGTTACAAAGATTAATATTGCAATATTCTAAAATCCAACCCTCACCAGGGCTACTCGGTGGAGGTGGGTGGGAGGTGCCCACTAAGCATTTCCCTGTATTCTTGCTTACCATATACCACTCCCCCATGGTATCACTCATAGCTGCTGAAATCCTCGTCACATTTTTAGCTGATGAAACCTTTCTGACTCTTGGACAATATTGACAAGAATATGCATGTCAACCCTTATCTTGAAAATAACAGCTTTGCACATTGTTAACTTTATACACTGTAAGCAGTACTACTGAATTCAACGGAACTAGTGCAGGAGTGAGCAAACTTTTTGGCCCAAGGGCCACATCTAGGTGGGGAAATTGTATGCAGGGCCGGGGCAGGGGGTTGGATGCGGGAGGGAGCATGGGGTGTGGGAGGGGGTGCAGTGTGCAGGAAGGGGCTCAGGGCAGGGGGTTGGGGTGCAGGAGGGGCACGGGGTGCAGTGGGGTCTTAGGGCAGTGGGTTGGAGGCTCAGGGCAGGGGGCTGGTGGGTGTGGGGTGCAGGAGGGGTTCGGGGCCACTTACCTTGAGCGGCTCTGGGGTGGCAGTGGCACGCAGAGGGGCTAAGGCAAGCTCCTTGCCTGTCCTGGCCCCACGCTTCTCCCGGAAATGACCAGCATGTCCGGCAGTGGCTCCAGGGCGTGGGGTGGGGCAGGTGGATCCACCGTGCGCGGCCCTTGCCTGTGGGTACCAGCCCTGAAGCTCCCACTGGCCGCAGTTCCCCATTCCCAGCATAGGCGTGCGCAGCACATTTCATTAGGGTGTGCACCCAGGGATTTTTTTTTTTTTTAAAGGTGAACATTTATTGAATACTCAATCATAAAGGACATTATTTTTATTCATCAAACAAACTAAAGAAACTAAAATTTAACTAACCTTTTTTTTTTTAAATTAACAACTAAACTTTACTTTAAAAATACAAACTTAAAAAATGAGACACAAAATACCAAATTTTTGCTGTAGTGATAACCAGGCATACATACAAAGATACAGTCAATTTTTATGATCTTTATCTTTAACCAGATAATGAGCTAACCGAAATTGACCAAACCAGATTAAGGTTTCTTCATCTTCCTGTCCTAGAGAATGAGACATTGCTCACCAGGTGTTATGGACTTAAATTCCTCAATCACATCATTGTAATTAACTGACGAAGCCAATTCTTGTTCAATGTACAAAATCATGAGTGAGCTGAGGCGCTGTCGGGACATTGTACTTCTTAGTTTGTTTTTTTACACGTGCTAGTTTCTAAAAGGCTCTTTCATATGAACAGCTTGTAACAGGTAAGACTGCAAAGCATTGAATAGATTTGTAAAAGGTCTGGAACATGGAAGACCGATCCAATTCCTTTAGCCAATCAAGCCACTCTCTGGTGGTGTTTGTAGTGCTACCTTTAGGAACAGATTCATCACAACCCTAAAGCAATCCGACTTCAGCTTCCAACTCATCCATGGACACTTTAAATTTGTTGGCAGTGATTTTCATATCGTCCTTGCCAATGTCTGAGCTCAGCAGTTTTCCCATTGCAGCCACAATTTTACAAGTCTCCTGTTCAAATTGCTGGTCAATGCCGGTAATCATTGAGTCTAGGAGTGGGTAAAATGAAGTTATTCTCTCCTGCTCCTCTTTTGTATCAAAGTGATGCTGGGACTCAAATGCGTCATCAATACGAATGCACATTTTTCTCTTCTTAACTAGAAGAATCAATATATCATTCTTTACCCACATTTTCACACTGTCATTGAAAATAGATTGAAAATATTCTGGGCCACTTCTCATTGCAGCCAAAGAGTTACACAAGCTTTTCACCCCTGTCATTGCAGTAAGTAAGTTGAGATCTGGAGCTTGAAGAGCCTTACTCACTTTTACCACCATCTAGAGAATAGGGTGCATCATGAGAAGAGGAAAAGATGAACTTTAATGAATTTAGTTCATGGATAAGGCCCCTGGCTTTTATTTTAGAGTCAGCAAGGCGAGTTGTTTCGATAATCTCTTGTAAAGCTTGTAAAATCATGGAGTAGTTTTGTTTTACAGCAGCCACTGCTTCTGCTCTGCATGCTCATCTTGTGTTTGATAGTGACTTCAAAGTCTTCAACTGGGATCCTACTTCTTGTGAAACCATTACTGCATGTTGCACAGGACTCCCCTCCATGAAGGCATAAAGAGTCTGAATAACACCAAAAAAATCAAAGATAGTTCTGTTTTGTTTACTTGAAGTGCATGCATCTACTAGGACGAGGTTCAAACAATGCACATAGAAACAGTGAAATACTCTATGTACACTGCTTTCTTTACATTCCATTTGAACTCCCGCAGTACATCCAGACACAGTAGATGCACCATCAAAACAGACAGACATCACTGATGACTAGTCAATTTTAAGAATGCCAAGGACGTCATTTAACTGGTCAAAAATAAACTGAGCATCAACTGTTAATAGTCTCTGAACAGACACAAAATGTTCAACTGGACTATGTTTTTCATTGTCAAAATACCGCACCACAATGGACATCTGTTCATGGTGTCCACAGTCAGTAGTGTCGTCGGCAATTATGGAGACCATTTTTCCATTGAGTGAAGACACAAACTTTTGTTGCACAACGTTGTGCAAGGCCACAATTAAATCATTTTGGATGTGATTACTCAGATAGGTAGCATTTCGAGGAGATTGTTGCACATGCTTTGCCATTACGGGATCATATTTCTGGAACATATTGACAAGATTTAGAAATAAACCTCTCTCAAAACCGTCAGCTTTTTCATTGTGACCCCTGAATGGTCTCCTACCTTTTGCCAAACAAACACAGAACAATGTCAATCAGTCGCTCCATTACACTTTGGTTATGGCACCGTTCTTCTTCTTGTTTAGACAGATAAGCCTGCTTGCCCTCATCCAACAATACATCCATAGGTTTCCCTTTATTAAAACTGGACCATGAAAAACAGCTCAACACATGAGATTTTGACAGTTGGTGGTTTTAAAAATATTCATTAGCCCTATGCCAGTTTCTGAATCCCTTATCAGTAAATGCTGGATCAGTGTGACCTTTGTTTGCTGCATCTTTAGAGGAGAAGAAATGGCAGTAAAAGCAAAATGCTGCGTCCTTTGATGGGCTATATTTTAATCACCTATACTTTTCATACCAATCGGACTGAAAACTTCTTTGTTTATTCCCTATTTTACTTACAGGAAACATGCTCAATCTAGGCTGATAAGGACCTCTAGATAATCGAGACCGGCGTTCTAATCTATTTTTTGGAATATCACAGACCAGGTCATCAGATGGAATGTCTGATGGCTTTAAATAGGAACTACAGTGACCTGAACTAAGAGACAAAGTCTGTTTCTGTTGGTCATTACTCAGTTTATTGCACGCACTGGAACTGGTGGTGGCATTATCTTCATGTAAGTTCTTAACCGAGGAGTCCGAGGTATTTGCACTACTATCAGCACATTCATTATAATTCAGTTTGTCTGCTCCTTTTCTTATCTTAATAACGAACCGATCCATATTTTAAAATTAAAAGGGGGTATCATAAGATTGAATTCAAACGTAAAGCCACGGGCTTGTTATGCTATTTCAGTAGAATACACACAACAAAGATTACAAACACTGTAGACACTGCGCTGGGCACACCTGACGCAGCCGCTTATATAGGTCAAAGAATTTTCTAGAATAGTAGTCGGTGGGGGAGGGGAGGATCAATGGTAATGCGGTGCCACAGTAGTGGGGACGCATGCTGCAAGCGAATATGGGCTTTCTATACATTGTTACAACATCTATACTACGCAATTCAGCGCTTATTGCATTAGTCCAGGGGAGGGTGAGTGTGTAAAATTAAGAATGTGTGCAAGTCTTAGCCAGTTGCTAGAATTTTCCCACATCTCCTTAATATAAACATCCCTCCCACCCCTAATTATGTTACACAAATTAGCAAAATCTGTCAGAGACCCTGAATACCTTATGAGTAAGGCTACATTTTAGTCACAGGTATTTTTAGTAAAGGCGGACGGATAGGTCATGGGCAGTAAACAAAAATTCATGGCCCGTGACCTGTCCATGACTTTTACTATATACCCCTAACTAAAACTTGAGCAAGGACCACAGGTACTCGGGGGGGGGGGGGCGGGGCGGTCGAGGGGCACTGCGGGTGCTGGGGAAGGTGGTCCAGGACCCCCACTGATGCTGGGGGGGATGGTTGGTGGGGTTGGCAGGCGTCCTACCTGGCTCCGCATGTCCCTGCAGCTCCTAGGCTGCGAAGGTGCCAGGAGGCTCTACACGCTGCTCCGGCCACAAGTGCCAGCTATTCAGCTCCCATTGCCTGGGAACTGCAGCCAATGGGAGCTGCGGGGGTAGGGCCTGAGAGTATGGGCGCACAGAGTCCCCTGGACCCTCCGCCTAGGAGCCGCAAGGCCATGCCGATGGGAGCCCCTCACCCCGAGGTAAGCACCCCCTGAACCCCTCAATCCACTGTCCCTAGCCCTGAGCCCCCTCCTACACACTCAAACTGCTGCTGGCCCAGGGGCTGCCTGGCTCAGCTGCTGCAGAAGTCATGTAGGTCACAGAATCCGTGACAGACTCGCAGCCTTACTTATGAGGCAGAAGGTGTGACAAAGGGGAGGACCAGCTCTGAACCTAGCAAAGACTCTTCTTTTGTGCACTATAAAATATCTGCTTACCTCATTCCTAAGCCCATTCACAACTTCATTTTCTTTTTTCTTCTCCTTTTTCTTCTTATTTTGGGCACCAGTCAGGCCTGCATTGGAGGTATTCTTTAAAAAAAAAAAAAAAAAGTTATACTACTATGTTTACTGGGACATTCCATAGCAGGCACGTAATTTAGATAGATATACAGCAATGAAAGAATATTCAGAAATGGGACATAGTCTGATGATGGGCTAAAGAAGTCATGGGGTGTATCCTATCAGAAGAAATTGAAAGACATTTTGTAACACATAAATTAAAAAAGTGCCTATCTATACAATGTTCTGGGTGCATGTCCACTGGTCCAGGAAAATAACTGGCCCAGTGTCCAAGAGATAGAAACTTTCCAAATCCTCTGGAATTTTCTCACTGCTACAACATATCAACAAAATCCTCCCTGCAAAAAGACTGGAAAATAAAAAAGCCTGAAGAGCAACAAAATCAGGCTTTGGTGAGAAAACAAAAGAAACCAGTCTCACACTCAGACCACACTGAAAACAAACTGACTATAGAGAGGTACTGTGGTCCAGAATATAAGGTAATGGACTTTTACTCAGGACAAGGGTTTTATTTCCAGTTCTGCTACTGACTTGCTGTGTGACCTTGAGCTAGTCATTTCACCTCCCTGCATCTATTTTTCCATCCCGCTCTCTAGTTTAGACTGTAAACTCTTTTTAGACTGGTTTCAGAGTAGCAGCCGTGTTAGTCTGTATTTGCAAAAAGGAAAGGAGTACTTGTGGCACCTTAGAGACTAACAAATTTATTTGAGCATAAGCTTTCATGAGCTACAGCTCACTTCATTGGATGCAAAGTGAGCTGTAGCTCACGAAAGCTTATGCTCAAATAAATTTGTTAGTCTCTAAGGTGCCACAAGTACTCCTTTTCTTTTTAGCCTGTAAATTTTTTGGGACTGAGCATAGTCTATTACTACATGTTTGGCCAGCAAAGCTCTGATGTCAGCTGAGGCCTCTGGACACCGAATTTGATCACTTAATCATAAAGAGAGAAGGACATCAATGAGGTAACTAGGCTGTAACCTATTTAAGGCTCTATATTTCAATTCCATCTAGAAATTCATTGAGAGCTAGTACAGCTATTTGAGCTCCTGTGTAATCTGCTCTCTGCAACACCACAAAAGGATTGCTACAGTCTGTCCCTGCTGAAGTTTGAGTGATTGTAAAGGATAAGTGCATGAGGAACATATTGCAATAACTTGGTCACAGAATTGTGAATCACTATGGCAAGGTTCTTATCCTAAAGGAGTCACTAACTCCGGTATCACCAATAATTGGCAAATACTGCTACCTGAGGATGTAGAATCACGTAGGACAGCCAATAGGACATACAAGTTGTGAACCTGAACAAAAGGCAGGTAAACTCTCCTTATGGATACAGCTTGTATCAACACCTGCCACTTCTTCTAGTATGTTCCTCTAACCTACCAAATAACCCCAATTCTACCTGGATCGACTAGCAGACAGTTTGCCCTAATCCAGCAAGGCACCACACTAGTTTGCTGAACAATGATAATTAGCACCAGTATAGCACCTCACGTTTTCAAAGCACAGACCAAACCACAAACACTAAGCAAATACTAGTTCATTTAAAACAAAACAAAAACAAAAAAAGGAATAAGTTCCTGGCTCCAACCCATGTTCAATGCAGGCTCAGGGAGCTACTCTCCACCTCCACATAATGGCCACGCCAACGTTTCAGCACTTGTCAGAAGAAAAAGGTGATCGCCTGGGGGGGACCTTAAAGTGACCCAAATTAAAACAAGAGAAAGTTTAGAGCGTCTTGGGAGCTTGAGTGATAGTTGCTGGTGTTCATGTCACTAAGCCCCCACAGCTGACAGGCCGCCCAGTACAGATGGCCGCCCGCAAGGCCGCCCGCCCCACGGGATGCCCCGCCCCTCGGCCTCCAGGCCAGGCCAGCCCAGCCCCACGGGCTGCCGCGGCCCCCCAGCCCCATCGGTTCCACGCTCCGCGTGCCAGGCAGGCCCCTGCCCGGCACCCAGGGCAGGCTCGGCGTCTTCCTCTCCCTCCTCGCGCGCTACCTTGCCGCCTCCTGCGGGGCCCGGCTCCCGCTGCTCCCCGCGGCCCAGCTCAGCTGTCAGGCTGCGCCGAAGGTGCAGGAGCCGGTAGCGCAGCTTCTCGTTCTCCGCCCTCAGCCAGTGCAGCTCCGGGCTGCTACTTGCTGGGCTGCGCCCCGGCTCCTGCTCCTTCAGGCGGCCGATCTCGGCTGTTAACCAGCGGATCTCCTCCTCCTGCCGAGCCAGGCGCAAGGCGATGGCTTCTGCGGCGGCTGCCATCTTCTCCCGGCCTGCCCCGGATCCGCGCTGCGGCGCTGGGAGCTTCGGGACCTCCCTTAGATCAGCTCCCTCCTCCTCCCCGGGCCCTGCTGGGGTGGGTCTGCAGCAGCTCCTGGGGCTCGTCTCTGCCAGGTGCACAGGAGAACACTGCAACCGTGCCCCGCACAATCCTGCCTTTAGAGACCTCGGCTGAGTCTCGGGCTTTCCATGGTTGGGGCCGACCATAAATTATTTAACCATTGAGAGCGAGAGGGGGGCTTAATTTCTTAATTTTGCATGTTTGTTTCAGTGCTACAAGGGGATGGGTAGGTCTTAAAAATCACCAAAAAATGTGTTATGTATTTTATGGGACAGCCCCTTGTAGTTCAAGAGGGGGGAGGGTGGGAATTCCCTTTCTTTTCCTTGCAGAAAAAAACCTTGAAAGTGCTAAAGACTGGGCCTGCAAGTGCATGGAGTGGCTTTCCCTGAAGGCCACACAGTCTGCATCATAGCCATCAGTCACTCATTTGGGGGGTTAAGGGAACCCAGCACAAAATGTGGCTGTGGGGATGGTGTCACCAAGGCTGTTGCTGATGGTAGCAAGGCCACCACAGACTCTTGTCAGATGTGTAAAGTAAACAAACGATTAGAATAAATTATTATTATTCAGTTACAGGAACGTTGAGTTAGTTTTAACAATGGTAAGTAAAAAATTCAGACATAAACGAGGCTCAAATTGCCATGTCCTTTTTGTGCTAGAAAGGGTTAAGCTTCAGTAGGAAGTTGAAAATTGTCATACCACCTGGAGGGCATTATGCAGTGCCACGTTTCTTGTTAATACACAGTGACAGACAAACACCATAGTTGCAGAGATTGAGAAAGAGAATACAGCCAAGCTACATTCCAGTAGCATCTGTACTAGATTTACTTTACCAATTATTTTTATTGTTACTTGAATAAATTATCCTAAAACGTGTCATAGGTAATCACTGACATATTACCTATGTGCTTCAAGGTCTCCCTCTCTAAAATTGTCAGTAATACCTACGTAATGTATGGTGGAATTATTAATTAGCTAATATTTAAAATTGCCAGAATGCACACAAGCAACTCTTGTGGCTGAGGGACTGGCATCCCACATGTTTCAGCTTATCTGGAAAATTGTTCCTTGAAAAGCTTTTTCCCGGCTGTCATGGGAGGCTGGACTGGTGATGGAATGAAGATCCCATGCCCCACTTTTGTATAAAATGACTCAGTTATGGGCAAAGGTTCCCCAAAGAATCATCTCACTGACTCAAAATGATAAGTCTGTCACTGTGTATAGTGGCATGATCTTAACTGACAAGAGTAGTTTATGTTTGTGGGGAGGGAAGCAAAAGGCAAAGGACATTATCCAAACTAACCCCTTTCTTGAGATTTCCTTTACTGGTAACTTAAATAACAATCTGAATTCTTCCTGCAACATCAGACCTCGCTTAGGGCACAAACAAGGCTCCATCATTCATCTGTCCTGGGCTGCTCTTCACATGGCCTCTATGTTGTGAAGTCCCATAAGATTTCTCGCTCTAAGTGGTGGTTGATGGAGGAATTCTTCTGATGAGCCCCTCTGTGCTTTCCTCCAGCTGCCCAGGAGCGCATCTGCCATGGTAGATGCTCTGGCTTCATTCTTAACATATGTCCGTAATATTACCATTTTCTTTTCTGGATAACCTTAGAGATAAGGAGTGGTTGAACTCTCTGATGAACTTCAGTATTAGTTACAAATTCATTCCATATAACACTTACTATTTTAAGTCATTTGCCTTCAAAGGCATTTAGGCATCAGTCTGCCTTTAGGATTTCCAGCTTTCACATCCACGTGTCAAGATGGAAACAACATTTGAGTAGAAGATTCATAGTTTGTTGATTGTAGATGACCAAATCTAGTTTAAGCTGGTAAATACAATTGCCACTTTGCCTGTTTGTGACATTATTTCTTTCTGAACATCCCCATTGCTTTGCACATTACTGCAATTTACTGGGTACCTAAATTGTCTCACTTCTTGTATGCTTGTGCCCTCTAAAATAACGTTTGAGCTGGGAGTTAGCAGGGGTCCTCATCAGATTTGTCTTTCATAACTAATTATTGATCACATCTTTTTTATGGTGCTGGGATAGTCTTTCAATCATTACTTGCATGTTGGTTGAGATGTCACTTAGACAAGCTATGTTGTCAGCAAAATCTAGATCTCCTAGTGTACTATTGTTGAGCCATGTGAGGTCTGTGTTGTATCCATCTACACTTTTTCTGACAGTGAAGTCAATGGCAATGCCAAACAGAGGTGAGAGAATGCATCCTTATTTGGCACCTGTGTTAAATAACAGTATATACACACAAACTTTCTGCCTGAGTGTGGGTGTTTCAATGGCTGTTTCCTGTGCAACACCAACATCGCTACTTTGCCAATATCCTTACCCCTCATTCTTTCTGAGAGTGGTTGAAACCCATTTTGTATCCTGCAAAGGCACTAATGGAACCTGCCTGATTAATTGCCATGAGACTCAGCAAAATAGCATTTTTATGTAGAGTCTTAGAATCTGCCACCAAGGTGAGTCAGCTGACGAGCTCTACACTCTTATAAAAAGGCCACCACACCTAGTCTCAGTTGACTTGGGCTTGCGGGGCTTGGGCTGCAGTGCTAAAAATTGCAGTGTAGATGTTTGGGCTTGGGTTTGCGCTGGAGACCAGGCTCTCAGACCCTTCCCCCTTGCAGGACTTCAGAGCCTGGATTCCAGCCTGAGCCCAAATATCTACACTGCAATTTTTAGCAATGTAGCCTGAGCCCTATGAGTCCAAGTCAGTTGACCTGGGCCAGCCACAGCTGTGCTGCAGGTCTTTTATTGCAGTGGAAATTTACCCTGTATGTCTAGGCAGCATGCTAGACTTTGCTTACCCAAGAAGGCTGTGAGTATGGAAAGCTAGAGATGTTATGCCCCATTTTGTGTGTTCAGTAAATATGCATTGCTTCATTTACATAAATCTCTTGCCATCAAATCCCTCACTTCCTTGTCCCTGTAGTGTTTGACATTCTCCATGTCAAACCCAATCACTCCCCCGTCAAGTTTCTCCTTTATTCTCTTGCCCCAACACCCGTATTTCCCCTGATCTGGTTCCCCCCTTGAGGGTCCCCCACACCTTCTCCTTCTTACATCCTCCCCTTCAGATTTTCCTTTCACCTTCTTTCTGGCTCCCCTGCTCAGATTTCCCCCTTCCTCTCAGTCTGGCTTTCCCATTATATTCTCCTCTCTCTCTGGCTGCTACACTCAAATTTCCCCCTTCTCCCTCCCTGATATGTCTCCAGGCCCTCTCAGAAGTCTAGAGAGGCCTGGGCCACTTCCAGCTTTTGAGGCCCCTAGCCAAAATAAAAATAAAAAATTACGACACATGAAAACAAAATAAGGCACCAAAAAAAGAGTGAGACATAATTTGAATATTTTTTTTATTTAACAAATGCTTTTCTAGCCTTTTTCTGTGAAAATACACTTATTATTGAGGAAAAATCTAGCTTTCGTGCAATGTCACAGTTGATATTAAGCATGGTGAGCACATTCAAATGCTCTTGTCCCATAGTTGAATGGTGATAGTTCTTTACCTGCTTCAACACATTGAAGGTCCGTTCACCTGAAGCCACTGATGCAGGCAAACTGACAAAAATATGGGCCTATCGACTATGAAAGCCTATGATGATGGCCAAGCTAGGGCTCAACCAACCAACCAACCACACCTTTTTTAGCTACTATATGAAGATAATAATGAGGAATTCTCACATATAAATAATTCCTTAGTCAACTAGACGTAAAACTATAAAGACACTAAAATGTAGCAATTCTCTACCTTTCAACACGCACTTGATCCAGCACCAGCCACTAGTAGTGGTTTGTTTATACAATCAGCTGACCTGAGAGAACACTTTGATCATGGTCTAACCTTGTGCCATCAGAAACAATATATTTTTATTAATATTTATGACTATTTTAACTCTCTAATATGACAAAATCTATATCAGTTAACAAAAAAATTATGTCTTTTATCAAATCACATCTCTTATTCGCTTAAATTTGCAGCTCTAAGCTGAGAGAGTATGTCACATTTTGGTCCGATAGGGATGTGCATAAAAACAAGTTGCAAAATTTATCAAAAAATTAAACAAGTGTCTAAATCTGAGGCCCCCTTTGCGCTTGAGGTCCGGGCCAAATGGCCCTCCTGACCACCACCACCCCCGCCCTCTGATTGGCCCTGTATGTCTCCCTGCTACACCTCCCCCATCTATCTCTAGTTCCCAGTGCCGTCACCTCCTTTGACCTCCGCATGCCCCACTCCATCTTCTTCAGAGCTTTCCCCTCCTTACCCCTGTCTAAGCTGCAGTTTCCAACATGCCCACAGCCACAAAACTACGATTACATTTACCCCCTACATCACTCAGTTCAGTGTCAGCCAGTGACATCTCTATGACCACAGAAAGTAAGGAGAGCTATTGTCTAGGTGAAGTTTCTATGGTTAGAGTCCTCCCATGTTGGGGACTCTCTAGTTAACAGTCCTGAGGATTACCAGATCAGAATGGCGTTCCATTTTGCACAGCTACTTTGTACATGTGGAAATAACTACACTGTGGGTAAGGACGAGGTGAATCAGACCCTGTGTCTGTTTATAGCTCTATATTTTGTACTTGCATGTGCAATAAGTAATGGGTAAAAGCACATTTGCTTGGCTATGGTACGTCTCCTATAATATCACTCATTAGTCTTTCTGACTTTTATAGTCTTATAAAAATGTTATATTTAAGATTAACAGGGCATCGCCTTTAAGCTGTGGAGACGTCCTCTTCCAATACATTATGCAGACAGTGCCAGCTCAAAAGATTTTGCTTCCCTAGACAAATTATGAAGTGTTCACCACTCATAGATCATTGTCACTCATAACAGTCACAAAACTTCTGGTCTCTCCTGTTCCACTGGCTTAGGTGACTGTGTCTTCTGCACACATAGTACAGCTTGCTCTGTACATTAACCAATTAATATAGCTCTAGCCTTCCTCTGCAGTTCTGTTGCCAAGCACTGTTTCCCTCCAACCATTAGTACCCCAGAGCCTTCTAA